ATGGTTATGTTGGACACTGTGTCTGCACACACAAAAAATGTTGAGGAATACAGTTTTACAACACATTCTTTCTCAGGAACCCCACAAAACGCAATAGCAATGTAATGTGAATTAAAACACCGGGAAAAGACATGCAGTGTTTGACACCACTGCCCTATGTTATTCCCATCCATAGGATATACAATGCGTAGGAGACCAAACTCCAGTTCAGAAGCGACAAAGGTAGTTATCATTGTAAATCATATTGTGCCAAATAATTATCAGAAAACACACTTAGTACGGCCTGATACATTTCTCTAAGTTGCTTCACAAGAGTTTGACACTCTGACTTAGGAGAGAGTTGGGCCTTGTGCCATATGATTCTCCTCTATTTAGAGTTTTGTAAATAAAAATGGATATATACATTTTATATGAAACGGTTAATGTAAAGAAATGTATTATGTTGTACTGGTGAGATAAGTATAACTTGTATTAATGACCTTTATTTACCTTCAGGTGCTAGGCATTTGGCATCAGGTACTTAATTTGGAGTAAAACACCTTAGTGGATTTAAGGATGTTCCATATCTGAATCCTAATTGTTTCTTTTGTGTCCACTTGATGGTCTGCATTTTTTTTAGGCAATTTTGTGCAATAAACATATATTGCAGTTACCTGGTAATAAGTAATCACATCCAAATAACGGATAGCCACAAGTTGCTGTTATTTTTATTACCATCATCGTATGAGAGGCTGTCTAGACGTAGCCCTGCATACAATGTAAATAGGTAGTGTGTGAGGTTGTGCAGCCCTTCCTGTGAGCATAAATACATGTGTATGCCACCATTGGAGGAAAGCACAAGGAAGGTGATTGTGTGTGACCTGCTCATCCTTGAAGTTGTTGGTACCCAATGCTAGTGTTTTCTACACCTAAATGCAGCAGATTTTACACTAAGTGTACATTTCCATGGAACGACAATAAAATGCCACGTCACAAAAATGGTCAGTTATTTAAATGCCTATAAGCCAGTAGTCGGGGAGAGTTCAAGTCTCTGATGATATCTCTCTTAGTGTTTAGTGAGATTGCATACTCTGTGGGATGGTGAATAGTTCCATCGGAACATTAATCTAAATGCACTGGAGTTGGCAACCAATACAAAGGGATAATCCATTCTGAAAAGATATGTAACCTTTGTGTTCATGGTCTATTTGACTTAAGCAGTGGCATCAAACCATTTAAAATCCAGCTGCAAAGTGAAAAGTTTTCATCCATACCATAATCTGCAGTATCTGCAGTCACTTTCAAAATTAACTCTTCAATCTTGTCTTCAGTTTCAAAAGTTAACGGATGAGGAAGAATGTGTCGTCGCAAAGGAATATGTTAACTATATTGTACTCTTACAGTTTTATTACTGTATGAATTTATCTACGCAGAGATTATATAAAGAACTGTTAAGTTACACTAAATATTTTCTATTGCATTTTCTTACATTGGCAATGTTATAAACAGCACTGGGTTTTCTACATTTTCTCTATCAAGTGTGAGCTCTACAATTGCAAATATGTAAACAAATATATATAAAAAATAAATTGATTTTTTTGTTTGTAATTTCTCATTTGTTTGACTGTGACCTTTATTATGTTGTATCCATTCACCCTGCTAATGCAAGTATTTGTGAAACACATAAATGCCCACCTCTACTGAAAGGACGAAGGAGTCTGAGCCACAGTCAGTGCTGTCTATATTCCTTATTTGCAAAACTGAACAGAGCCCTGAGTAAGCGGATAGCAACTCCATCATCTTAACACTTGGCTGGTACTGCTGTGGAATATTGAACTATATCCAACTCTGTACAGAGCAGGCATTCTAGCCTGGCAGAGTACCCAACAGAAAACATTTTTGCAGATAGTGTAGGTACTTGAAAGATACATTTTATGCATTATCAACTGCTACCTGGAAATTATGAAAAATGATTTTTTGATTGACTTGTGCACAAATTATTTCCAGCTGGCTGAAACTAATCAAATTCCTTCAACTCCGGTGCAATGCTCAGACCTGTTTCTACTTCATTGTAAAACTGTTTATCCACTTATGTTTACCAAACTTGACTTCCGCAGTTTGCAAAACTATAAATCAGTTTTTGAAACTTTTAATTCTGTATTATGTATCTTGATGTTTTATTCAGCTAATGTTGCCCCTTTGGGACAAATATGTCACTGTTTTTTATTTCCCCATTACATTCTCCTTGTGAGGTTTTTGCATGATAGTATTCATCCATGTCACTCTTCAATTGTCTCATTCTACATTAGACTTGTGCACAAAAGAGCTTCAGATGCTACGAATGAATTGAATGCCTTTAATCTTAAATGGATCTATACGATTCATTGAGTAAGACTTCACAGGTACGTTCCAGGCAGGTTAGTTTATTCTGGTGTAGATTGAAGGGAATTTAATTTGTTCATACCAACTGAAAATAATTTGTGCACAAGTCTACTTCTTGTAGTAGCTTGAGAAAAGTGAGACAGTGAGAGCTATGTTAACGCTATCCCAATGTTAGGGCGTGCTATGCCGCCTTACAAAAGGAAGGCTTTAATGCCATTAGGCTGGCATGGCACGCCCTATCTGGCCCACTATCCATCCAAAATGCTTTCTCTTCTTTCCAATTGCAAACATGGGACCTGTCTGACAACCCAGGCAGTCCCCCTGCAGATGATCATGTAATTGTGTTGTCAGGCTGGCCCAACTGAAGATATAATAATGACAAATGGCAGAGAAGCAATTGGATGCAATCCAGAATGAAGTTCAAAATAAATATATTGAAGCAACCACACAAAGATACTGCATCTAAAGAAAGGTAATGTATACTCAACAGAAGTAGTATAAAGTGAAAAAGGAAACAAAGTTACAAGAGCCATAGAAGCCCAGAAAATTAGTTTTGTTCATTTTCATAATACAAAAAAAAAAAACAAAACCTCCAAATAAGTGAAAGTTAATTTTCACACCGTACAAATATCACTATAGCACTTTGGTGTGGCTAATGATTACAAATTAGAAGTGCATATAATGAGTCGTGAATCCCTAAGCATTAGTTGAGATTTAAATTCTTAGTGAAACAAGCAATACACCAAACGATATTGTAGAGTTTAGGGGGCGAATAATGAAGCAAAGGGAAGATATGCGGGAAGCCGCACTTCTGCATGGTGGTGACCTTACCTTTAGCTGGCACGTGCTCACTCAGGAGTCGAAGAAAAAAAAAAAATGCCATATACATGCATACCAACCATTTTCTCTACAGCACTTCAAAGCATGTAAATAATGACATTTTTTATACTTACCGTAATATTATTTCCATGGCTAATCATGGCAGCTTTTAACTAATGGGTTAGCGCTTCCCTCCAACTGATAGGACAAGCAATAATTAGAATGAGCATTGAGTATAAATGGATCCCTTAGTCTAGTAACAAGTTGAGCAGAATCCAGCTAGGGAAGATGATGCTGCCATGATATAAACAAAAAATGGAAAAAGATAAATTCCATAATTTTCTTTTCCAGGCCATTTTCATGGTAGCATCACCTATGGGTTAACTCTTCCCCTCAGCTGTAAGGACAACTTTAAAATTTGAAATTATTAAACATGTATTAATCACAAGAAAATCTAAAAAGTATACAATAAGTTAACCCATCATGGCTGACAGGACGCCCTTTCTGAAAGTAATTTGTCAAAACATTGAGAACCACTCCGTAATATTGGATATATTTCTTTAAGGATGACCAAGTGGCTGCCCTGCTAACATCCGAATACATGTCTGCCTTGCTGCCCGTGATGCTGCCAATGCCCTTGAAGAGTGGGGTTTTATACCCAATTTCAGCATAGGCCTTCAAAATAACACAATCCAGGCCCTAAGGGTTGAAGCTGATGCTTATCTTCTTGAATCCACTGGAATCACAAAGTCTTGAGTTTTTTTTCTGTAATTCCCTGATCATTCTAAGCAAGCCCTGAGCAGTGCACATCATCTACTTTATGCCAAAACTATTTTTGTTTGGAATTTGGTTCTGGGAAAAAAGTATGGTAAAATGTTTTCTTAAAATACATTTGCAGATGAAACTACCTTGGGAAGCAATTTCAGTACAAGTGCTCACAATGCTGATATTGGTTTCACTGAAGTGATAGCCATTACGAATACAGTTTTTACTTTCACAAGGGCCTTATAAATTGAATTCAAATCCCAAAATGCAAGTCAATGTAGACCAGGCTGATACTTGTTCTTTAAAGGTGCGGAGTCATATCAACCTCAGAAGGTTATAGAAGGGTCCTCTGCTTTTCTTACTTCACACATGGAAAGTCATCCATATTTTATAATGTGAGGAAAACAGACGGTGTAAAGGTTGCGCCACTGAAACAGAATTTTTTTATAATAAACTGGTGTCAAAATATAACAAAATAAAAAAGCAGAATAAGTACACAAGTAAAAAAATGAGGTAGGGGCATCCAAAGTGAGACCTATCTATAGAAAGGTGTGCAGAATCTTGATAGAAGGAGTATTCCTCACTGTGACATAGGTGAATCCTTGAAGTTCATATGAAATAGATAAACGATAACTAATGGTGCAGTGTGTACAGTATAGAAGATCTATATGGTTCTACTCACGTTTAATAGAGCTATCTACCTAGCTCTAGTGTGGATGGCGTACAATGGTACAATCCCCACTTATAGGATACGTGAAGTATTTGTAGTTTTGCTTGATGTAAGGGCTATATGAAAATATAAAAAAAACGCAATAATGCTTACAGTATGAAAACCAGAGGTGTAATAATAAAATGCCAAGTGGTTACACATATTTGTTTGAGCACGCTGACTGCTCAATAAATAAAAAGATCTGGTACCAGGTAAAAAGGATGGTGATAAATAAATATAATATGATTTAAAAAAGTAAAATGGCTAACTCGCAGATATAAAGTGGCCAAAATACCTTTATTAAAAATACTGTCATAAAATACCACAATGCATTTTGCCCTTAGGCTTTATCAAGTGGAGATCAGAACGTATAACCTGGCAGACAGAAGTATATGTAGAGAATGTACATGTAATTGTTTGAAAAGGGCACCAAAATGACATCATTAATTAATATATATAACACAAGATTTTAGAAACGATGTGTTAGTGGTAGAAATGTATTTTGTGTTAGGTTGGGGGCCCCTCTGAAGATGATGCAAGGTTTGTCTAGAATGAGAGTTTTAAATATTTCATCCAGTTTTAAAATATGACAGTGTTTTTTTTTATAGTTTTTTTTTTTTTTTTACAATTCTGTGCTTGGTAACCATGTCATAATTTCACGACCTACCCCTGGACGTCACTAAGACGAGCCCATTAATATCATCATTAGGATGCGACTGCTGAACGATGGGTCGCGTCCTGAGCACATCATTGGGGACGTGTCTCCCACTCTCCCATCTTGGCGTAAGTTATGAGAACATAACTACAAGCCCCAAAAGCCATTGCGATAGATCACGTGGCGCGGCCCGACCCGTAATTAAATAGGGCTGCTGACCACGTGACCGCAATCTTTTATTATTATTTCTATAAATAAGCCTCATTTTTAAACAATATTGTGATACATAACCTCTACATGTACTTTAACACTTTATGTAATTTCTAAAATCTTTTGTGTGTTATATACATTAATTAATATGGTGCCCTTTTCAAACAATTACATGTGCATTCCTTACATATACTTCTGTCTTCCAGGTTATACTTTCTGATCTCCACTTGATAAAGCCTAAGGGCAAAACGCATTGTATTTTATGACAGTATTTTTAATAAAGGTATTTGGCTACTTTCTATCTGCGAGTTAGCTGTTTTACGTTATCATCATATTATATTTTTTTATTTGTTATTATCACCATCCTTTTTACCTGGTACCAGATCTTTTTAACCACTTAACGCCGTTACGGCGTTCTATGCCGTCCCGCATTAAAAGGGCTTTAAAGCCTTGGCGGCGGAATAGAACACTGTAACGGCTTTCAGCCCCTGGAGCTCCAATTTACTCACCTCCGCCGTGATTCTCTTCTGGAGGGCTGCCTGACAGCCCAGGCAGCCCAGGCAGCCCTCCCCGGCACATGAGGCCCCCTATAGATGGCTGTGGATCTGCCAGCAGGGGGACTGTCTAAAATATCAGACAGTCCCCCTGCTGGTGGGAAAGTAAAAAAAAAAAAAAGAATTAAACGTGTAAAATTAAAATAGAAATTTATATATATATATCTATATATATACATATATATATAGATATATATATGTAACTTCATACACAGTGTATTTTAATATAAGTACATATATTAGTATTAAAATACACTTAGAATGACATTACATATAATATGTATATATTATATTATATATATATATATATACGTATAATTACAATAAAATAAAATAAATAAATTAAATATTGAAACAAAATATAAATTATACATTCATATGTAATTTCTTTCTAACTGTATTTTGTTATTAATATATATATATATATTGGTAACAAAATACACTTAGAATGACATTCTATATATATCTATCTATATTTAAAATACAAATAACCGCAAATATATATATATATATGTATAAAAACATATAATTACATAAAAGATTACATTAGTATACACATAGAATTTAAATACCTATAAATGCATATATTAAAATTCTACGTGTATATTTAAGTAATCTTTTAACATAATTATGTGATTTGATTAATTAAAATTTGATTGACATGCCTGTCAACACAGGGAGAAAGTGCAGAGAATTTAATTCGCAAGCACTATATTTGACCCTTTAACTCTCCAAGACACCATAAAACCTGTACATAGGGGGTACTGTTTTACTCGGGAGACTTCACTGAACTCAAATATTAGTGTTTCAAACTGGTAAATTGTATTACAACGATGATATTTTAAGTAAAAGTTAAGTTTTTTGCATTTTTTTTTACAAACGAACGGCACTTTTACGGACTATATTATTGTTGTAATATGTTTTACTGTTTTAAAAACAATAATATTTGTGTTTAGTGAAGTCTCCCGAGAATAACAGTAACCCCCATGTACAGGTTTTATGGTGTTTTGGAAAGTTAGAGAGTCACATATAAGGCTTGCATTTCATTTTTTTGACATT